ACCCATGGTTTCCTTTAACAAAAAAGTAGGCTCGAAAGATATTTGAAATTGTTGACGAGAAAAATTTAAAAAAATTTAAAAATTAAAAAAAATGCAAATTTTTCGACGGTAGTAAAATGACATATTTATTTTCTAAAAAGCCTTCTTAAACGACAATGCCAAGCATCATTAAACGACAATGCCAAGGTTTTTTTTTACAGAAAAGTAGACTTGAAAGATATTTGGAAATTTTGACCAAAATCATGGGTTAACCGCTTTCTAAATAAGTCTCCTTTTGTAAAAACAACATCATCAACCAACAAAAAAAAGGTTTACTTTACAAAAACGTATGTTGCAAAGATATTTGGAATTTTTGACCATAATCATGGTTAAACACCTTTGAAAAAATGCAATTTTTTCGACTATAGTAAAATAACATTTTTATCGTCTAAAAAACCTTCTTTTGAGAAAACAACATCATCAAACGACAAAACCGAGGTCTCTTTTAAATAGCCTGGGACCAGGCTCCGTATTGTGGGAAAAAGGAGAGAAAAATCGGCGTTGGGTCCTGGCTCCAAACTGGGGAAAAAAAGTAAAAAACAGGGTCAAATAGGAAAAATATTGGCAAGCGAAACGATCCGAGCGGTATCGCTCGCCGATATTTTTCCTATTTGACCCCGTTTTTTACATTTTTTTCCCCAGTGCAGAGCCTGGTCCCAGGCTACTTTTAAAGAATAGTACTCTCGCCGAGATATTTGGAATGCTTGACTGGAGTCATGGGTTAACCTCTTTGGAAAAAGTGCAAATTTTTCGACTATAATAAAATGACATTTTTACCGCCTAAAATCCCTCTAACATCATCAAACATCATCAGAAAAGTATGCTCTAAAGATTTTTTTATATTTGATATTTGGAAAAATGCCAGTCGGAAAGTTGGAATGGAAATTTTTTCATTTTACCCTCGGACGGACAAGAGGGGGGTGGGGTGGGGGGATGAGGCCACACCCCTTAAGGTTTTTCTGAGTTTTCTCTTAGAGGACAAAACTTCAGCACCTGGTGATTCTTGGTAAAATCCAACATGGCGATTATTGTTGGTGACGTCACAGGTCCCCGGCAGCGCCACCACCCATATAATATACCTCATCATCAAAGACTTTCCACCGAAGGTAAAATCATTTCGAAATACTGCAACATATCAAAAACTCCGAAGGTTCCATCCACCCCTGTTGTATTACGGGTATGAATTTGCATGTACGTCCGAGGGTTAAAAAGCCTCCTTTTGTGAAAACAACAACATCAAACGGCAAAACCAAGGTCCCTTTTAAAGAAATTTAGGCTTCATAGATATTTGGAGTTTTTGAGCAAAATCATGGGTTAACCCCTTTGGAAAAATGCAAATTTTCCGACTATGTGAAAATGTCGACTTTTAAATAGTCTAGAAAGCCTTTTTTTATAGATACAATATCATCGAACAACATATCTAGGACTCAGAAGACACTTGGATTTTTGACCAAAACCATGGATTATTCTATATGTTGTCTGTTGTATTTTGATGTGACTGAGTGACGCTGATATAATTAGGAGCATCCTTATGTTTTCCGTTATGCACTTTTCTCCAGTTAGGAACAAGCAGCCAGCATGACTGTGGGGCTAGATCAGGACTTTAAAGTTGCAATATTAAATGAGTACGGTCGAAGGAACACTGGTTGTGAGCAGAAAGGAAGTAGCCTGCAAGGATGAGGCTGCCTGCCATTTCTTTTTCTTTTTTTTGGAAACAAGTTGTTTTTTTTTTCAATAAACTACTGTTATCTTCAGGAGCCGCGCTCCTTACTTTCTGTTGCAACTTTGCACTTCTCGATTTTGGGGTCTCTGTACCTCCTTAACACCTGATCTGATATTAACAGCTGTTTAACATTTACAATAGCCGATTTTGAGGTCTGTGCACCTCATTAACACCTGATTTGATGTAAACAGCTGTTTACCATCAGAAATATCCGAATTTGAGGTCTCAGCACACCCTAAACACCTGATTTAATATAAACAGCTGTTCACCATCTAAAATAGCCGATTTTAAGGTCTCTGCACTAATTCCTAAACACCTGAAACACCTGATTTGATATAAACAGCTGTTTCTCATCTAAAATAGCCGATTTGGAGGTCTCAGCACCTCCCTGAACACCTAATTTGATCTAAACAGCTGTTTGCCATCTAAAATAGCCGATTTTGACGTCTCTGCACCTGTTTAGGGCTCATATGTTTTTCATCGATTAGTTGACGAGCCAGTTACAAAACAATATTAGGGGCAACGTGACCAATATCGATTAGTGACGTCATCACTATCGATTTACCGGAAGTGTCATGCCAAAAAAATCACGCAATATACCCTAATGGAAAACAGGTTTATTTTTACCCAAGCGCACACTTGGACTCTTGCCCCCCAGAAGACACGTGGTATGGCGTGGTGGGTGTTGAGAGTTCTGGGTCAGGGCTTAAATCAGAGTGCGCGGATATTTTTCACCAGAGTTTTCTCTGGTTGTTACGCCATATACAATCCCGCTCTGTTTTGAGTTCTTTCGGTGTCGTGTTGATGTCTTATAGAGTTCACTTTTACGTTGTACGATCGGCATTACAGTATTCTGCTTGCATAATATAATTTGTCTACTAGCCTGTGGCAACGCAAAGAATAGATTTAGATCGGTTTCAATAGTTCTTAGGGTTGCTCGCTTGTGATTTGATATAAACAGCTGTTTACCATCTAAAATAGCCGATTTAGAGGTCTGTGCACCTCATTAACACCTGATTTGCCTCATTAACACCTGATTTTGATATAAACAGCTATTTACCATCTTATACTACTACATGAGAAATTTCTGCAATTTGATTGGCTTAGAGCAGTGGTATTTCAGCTTAATTTGAAATACCTACATGTGAAAATTACAAACCTTTTGCGGGTAGTAGTATAAACAAATAATAGCATGATTTGTACATGATATTTGGCATAAATACAACTGGTGATATTTCAAAATTGTCTCAAATTTCACTCGCCTATTGGCTCGTGAAATTACGTATAACAAATTTGAAATATCACTCGAGGTATTTATGCCAAATATCACTACAAATCATGCTATTACCTATACAAATAGGGCCGATTTTTAGGACTCTGAACCTCCTAAATAGCTGATTTGATAAAACAGCTGTTAACCATCTAAAATAGCCGATTTTGAGGTCTCAGCACCTCCTAAACACCTGATTTGATACAAACAGCTGTTTACCATAAAAAATAGCCGATTTTATCCCATCAGTCCTTAAGAGCGTGCAAAGATGGGGGGTGTCGTAAATAATTGAACAGTTAATGAATGAGGCTGAGTATCTTATGAAGAATTATGGAGATCGAGGAGGGTGTTATCCGTCGAGGCCGTAGGACGAGGCGGATAACACCCTCCGAGATCTCCATAATTCTTCATATGATACGACAGCCGAATTCAATAACTGTTTTATTATTCATTCAAAATAATTCCTAGTTTAAAAACATATCTAAAACATTATAGTCGCAGCCTTTACGCGCTTAAGTTTTTAACACACAAACTTTATTCTAGAACTTCTACAACTGGTGCAGGGAAACAAGTGAACCGATGTGAAGTATAACGAAGTATAGCGAAGTATACTGAAGTACAGCGGTACTGAAAAATAACAATTAAACAAATACAAAGTCAAGATAAAACAACCTACAAACTGAACGAAAGCAATAAGGCAATCTAGAAATGCGAATGAAACAAACGAGATACTTACAAGACGATAGCGAGATAAGGACGAAAAACTAGGACGAGCAAAACCCAAACATTAAACTGTAAACCTGACCAAGCGCAGCTAAACGAAGAACTGACGCGAAAAATTACAATAAAAGCTAAATATACGATATGCAGAAAAATCCTAACACGAAGGACAAAGCTACGCGAACAATGAAAAACTAATTAACCAAACAACAGCACTAAAGGCGCGAACACGAAAATAACTAAGAACGCGGCGAAAATAAAAATACTATAAAGGTAACGGAAAACATTCCTGGCGCTTACAAACATGCTTACCTCCATCGATCCATCGATGTTCAGTTCATCTTCGATAGTGCACGTTTAGGGTTGTTCAGCTCCGCAAATATTCTCCAAATAGCAGATGTCGCCCTTCGAGTTGTCTTCTTGCTGTTCTTGCCATGTTTTTAGCTATTTTTACGCCTAGTTCTTACTCTTGAAACGAGTGAAATGTCCTCCATTTTTCAAGTTCACAACCAAAACAACTCAACCTCGTTCCCAGGTCTTCTCGGTTAACGGTGCATTAACATGCAAGAACGCTGCATTTTTGGCGTCGTTTCCTCGCTAAACACAAAGTTCCTCCAAATTTGGTCGTCAGTAACTGGGTATGGTGAATTAAACGTGTGCTTTTAGCCAATCAGAATCGGGGAAATATTTTGAATGAATAATAAGGGCTATTAAATGATCTCATACAACACACTTAACAAACACTAACATTTTACTTAATAAAAGCATTAACTCAGTTTCTGCATGAAATGTGTACGTCTAAAGAGAAAAACAAAATGACTGAGACGATGTTCTCCTTTACCGATAGAGAATAAGCTATCACAATGACTTCCATATAGCAAAGTCTTTCTTTACTTGGCTCGGGTATATACTTTGTTTTGTTCACGCAATTGTATCTCACAGTTAACACACGCTGTGATTGTTCGATTTAGCGATTTAGCGCTTTAGCGGGTATTATTTCATTGCAATGTACGCTAAAAGAATACAAAAACTTGTTTTGATCGACTGTTTCAAGCAGTTTTATAAGCTACGGTGTCTCCTATTTCTTACCGCTGCGCTGTAGTTTTATGATAAATGTCAAATAGCCTAAAAACCACCCAAATACATATGTGTTCTAATAGTTTTTTTTCGAGCAGTACATACTCTGAAACGTTCTTACACGTTTTTTTCAGCTTAAATCCTCCCAGAAATCTCGGACATCTCAAAATCACGCTGGAAGCTTTTATTCACTCGACCACCTCCCGAAGATCGGACGGCTGCCGGACGACTGTTCTTACAAACACACTTCTTCAACAAAAGTGCCACGATCACTAAAACAAGCAACCCTCCAGAAGCAGACACGCCGATGATGACATAATTTGGACCTTTCTGGGGCACCAATGCGGCTTCCCTTGGTATGGTCGACGAACCAGGTGTCGAGTCGGTGCCTGTATAGAGAAGAAGAACTATGATGTGAAAAGTTATCATAACTCCTAGTCCTTACTTAGGGTGCTATATGCTGATTTCCACCATATATAAAACAAAAGGAGTAACCATTAGTCGTAAAACAGCCGAAAACTTTAGTCGTTAGTCGTAAAAAAATGTTGACCGCGTGAAAAAAACTGCTACCAAAAACAGTTTTCATGTAGAGAGTGTCAATATTACTTGTTACTACTTTTCGCGTCTTATCTCGTGCCTGATACAGCTATTTTATCCTTTTTTTTTTTCATCCCTGAGAATTCCTTAGAGGCCTTAACGACTTGCAAGTTATGGATTTTTTCTTTTCAGGTGTCTGATAACCGTAACGAAGATAAATTATCCATTGGCCATGGAAAAGCCAAAATATAAACCTTTGATTAACCGTAAACGCCTTCACTCCATTGTGACCCTCTAAAACTCCTTTACTACCCGGACAAATCTATATACCCCCAAAATTATTTGCGCACATTATTTATACAGCATCAGAACCTATGCCAACAAGTTAGGTCAATATGTAGGCTTTTTTCTTTTTGCTCATATTCTGCTCAAATTTTCCTCACAAAATGTTAGAAACCTACAAGCATTAAAAGAGCAAGAAGGATTCTTTTTTTTCCTCTTTCCACAGTCAGTAAAGAATTTTTTTTGTTGGTGTCGGAAAGTCACAAATAGAGTTTCTATCACAGTTTAGCATCATGATCTCTCAGGGTGTTTATTGTGGGCTGAGAATATTCTGAAATCTTCTGCTGTGAGGCATTTTGTAAAATAACGAGTTCCAGATAGCTATCTAAATTTCAGTAAAGTGCTAAATATCATATTCACCAGTGTGCTTCATTGATGAGACCTCAGAGGTACTGTAGGTATTGGCTACCTCAGATGAAATCGACGAGGGTGGTGATTTTTGATTGGTCAGCGGTGTCATTGTGGCTGAATTGACAACCCTAACTGTCAACTGTATTTCCGTCAAGCAGGATCTTTCACCCTTGTCAGCTGCACCAACCAATAGGTAATATTCCTCCCTCGTTGGATTAGAAGTTACCTTGATCAAACCAGTTGTCGGATCAATGTTGAAGACATCATTATTTGATAGGCTGTACGATATGTCACCGTTCGAGCCATTGTCCAGATCTGTGGCCGAAACTTTAGTAAGAATACTTCCCGGTTTTAAGTCAACGACATCAAGCCGAAGGTTTCCTGATGGCTCGACAAATATCGGACAATTGTCGTTTTCGTCCATTACCGTTACCTGCACAATGGTGACGCTCGATTTCTGTGGGAAGCCATTGTCCGAGGCCAAAAGCGTCACATTGAATATATGGGGTTCCACAGTCTCAAAATCAAACGTTAACAGATTAAAAACTTTTCCACTTGCTCCGTCAACAGCAACAAGGTCCTCAACGCTTTTTTCGCCAGGAAGCGAATAAAATATCTCTCCATTTCTGCCTTCATCCGTGTCATTAGCGTGAACATGCAAAATCAGTGTTCCAGGGGGAGCGTTTTCCTTAATGGTCGCGTTATAAAGCTCTTGACTAAAACTGGGTGGGTTGATGTTTGGTTTCGCCTTTTGATCGCAGTACTCGCCATCGAAGGCTGGATAACAGGCGCACTTGTTCACAAGAATACAGTCTCCTTGTCCAGAACAGTTCTTAACTCCACTACAATCAGGGATGCTGCACGCTGGACCTGACCATGCAGAGTTGCAGTTGCACACATCATATCCAATGCACTGACCGTTACCTGGAAAAATGATTGCTTAGGTCAAGGGAAAGGAAATTTAGTTCGTGTTAGTAGGAAATTCGAGTTATCCGAGTTCGAGTTATCGAGGTTCTACTGTATACTTTTTCTGTTTTCTTTTGACGATCAAATACCGATGCGTTGCCCTTTGTTCCCCCTATATCTTATGAACTTACAGCAAGGATATCCAGCTCGGTGTCTACATTGAAAAAGGCTCTGCTCATTCCCATTACAGTTTACATAGCTTATCCACACGGTGCCACTGCTAGCAGGGAGAAAATGGTATCTCTTAGCACCCAAGAAGCCAAGTTGCCTGCATGCCACCTGAGTATTTTTGAAATTCCAAGTACTGTAGTAGTCTTCATAGCAAACTACTCCCCACTGTCCGTTCCGCTCCAGCTCCAAACGTCCGTTTTTGTACGATGAACCACCTACCAGCCTTATTCCAGGGTTGTATAATTTAGTGCTTTTACAGAACTTAGTTTCCTTACAAGACATTGCTCGGAAAGTGATTCTTTGAGACCTTGTCCCCTTGGCGAGTAATGTTCCTTGAACGTGAACTCCGACATTTGGAACAACCAGAAATTCGGTACCAGCCTCTTTAAAAACAGAGGCATTCTGAGAAATAACCAAGTCACTTGTTACCAGGTACGGTCCGTCTGCATAGGTGAAGGTCTGGTTCTTACTGACACTGCCGTTAATTTCGTGGAAGGTCAGGTTGGTGCAGTATACGAGCGTGGGGCAGAGAAACAAGAGAGCAGCCAACGAAACTAGCATACTGACTTATCTGTACTTTTCACATCCCAGTCGATAAAGGGAGCTGCTGTTTGAACAGACCTGAGAACAATGATATAATGAAAAAAAAAAAAAGATAAAAACAGCAACAACAAAAACAACAGTTATTAATAGTAATGATAATGATAATGGATTGATTCTGAGCTTTGCCTAAATTGCTTAGTTTTACGTAGGCTCATGGTTATTAGTCGGCCATATCATATTCCAGTTTATAATTAACGTAGGGCTATATTAATACCGCCTAACACGTGGCAGTGGCCATTTATTTAATTTGAATAAGTGATTGAAGCAGAAGTTCGAGACATCTTGTATCGTAATTTTATTCTACCCATACCCACCCGCTTTCGGGTCGAGAGGTTTGTCTGTGGCATGGATTGATGGTGTAGGTAATTGTATATTTTCCGGGCTAGTCATTTCACAGAATAAACCTGTTAGTGTGCCAAATTAAGGAGTGTGGCTTTTCTTTGTGTTTTAATGAGGCCATAGTAGCAAGGAGAATTATAATGATAATGATAATGCTAATAATAATGATTTTGATAATAATAATAATGATGATAACAATATTAATAATAATAATAATAATAATAATAGTAATTTTAATAGGCGTTTTTCAGGGCCAATCTAGCCTTCAGTCATTCAGTAACAGTTTCCTAATAGATTTCTAAGGGTCAACAATTTCCTGGTCGCCTGAAATATTGAATCGACATGCGAAATTAAAACGTGGCACTTTTTTGGCCTTTGTTTTTTATCGCTTCATCCGAGAAAGTATGTGACAAAGATTTTAAGATTTTCTTGCGGAATAAACCAATATTTAGAATTTACAAGCCACTTTGTATGGACGGTACAAAGAGACCTTTTCACAAGATTCTTATCAAAGCCGCTGGCAAACTGCAAACAGGAGGAGAAAATTTAGAAAAATTTGGGCGTTAATGTAAGCATTCTATCAGACATACGCGATGGCATCCACGCACAGTGATCTAGGTTGTGCATGTTGTTGTCACCGAGACCTTTCGAAAATCTATCGAAATTACTACTGCAGATCGTTATATTATCTTATGGGAAGCATTTTTAGTATAGCTTGACAACACTGAAACTTGACCTTCGCATTATGTTGCTTTCTTGAAAAAAAAAAAAAATGGTACAGAGAATTTTCGAAAAATTGTTTTGAATGAGCTCTGCGACTTACCAGAACTTACCCGAAAATCCTTAATCTTGAATACGCGAGTTATTATTTCTATTAAACGGCGAACTGCAATTGCGTGTAACTTATTTTGCAATGGTAACTTGAGCTCTCACTGTCTGAGTAAATGGCGTCATTGCGGTTAATTAGACATACGTCCGTAGTACATGTTTCTTCAGTCAGAGAGTAGGTAAGGGGTAAGGGTAAGCAACCTATCGAAGCAATTTAACTGGGTTAGGCAAAGTATTGCACCAATTTTGTTGGTAACACATAAAGAAATGTACAGTATATATTGTTTTTCTATTATTATCTGGAAAATGCTTAGTTACTGCGCTTTTCAAAACACGCGAACTCTGAAGTTCAAAAGCCGCCTTCACAATTGCGTTTTTCGCTGGAGACGTTTCCGGGGCGAGGGCAACCTCAACCGGACCACTTTGCTCACCACATTGCCGCCGTGCTCCCGTCGGCGACGTGAAACTTGTCTGTTTGACCTCGTGGCGAGAACGTGAGTATTTAACTCTTATTTTAATCAGGTTTGTTGCGCTTAGCAACGAGAATTTTGCAGATTGTCGTTCTTAAATTATCCTTGTTTTCTTTGAGTCACATTTCAAGCTCGATTTCCAAGCCCTGTTATCTAAACTTACATCTTTATAATGTTTCTATGTTTCATGTCACAGAGTCAAGATCCAATATGGCAAACAACAAACCGTAAGTGAGCTTTACATGGACACAAATTTGTCCTACGAGCCAAATGAAAGTATCCAGACAAAAAAAATACGAACTCCGATATTTTAATTGTGTGTTTGTAGCTAACTCTTTTCGTTAGAGTATCGTATAAATGAAACGTATTGAAAATTTTTTAGAATAGTATAGTTATGTGAAGAACAGAACACAATGTGTCAGGCTTGGCAACACTCGCTCGACCACCGGGAAGCTAATGTCAGGTGTCCCACAAGGATCTGTTCTTGGCCCGCATTTATTCAATATTTTCATAAATGATCTGTTCTACAACATTAAGAAGGCTAAAATATCGGCTTATGCAGATGATAAACAACTTTATTTCAGCAACGCAAACGCAAGAATTGTACAGAAAACCCTAAATTCTGAATTAGCTGTGGTTTCGAGTTGGATCACGGACAATGGCCTTCTGCTAAATCCTAAGAAATGTGAATCGCTAATTTTCAGAAGAACAAATCCCAAACACAACCAAACGGAGGAAGAGAAAATTAATTTCTCGGTCGATGGAACATTGATAGAGCCCTCCACCACCTGCAAATTACTGGGAGTGCACATAGACGAACGGCTAAATTTCAACAACCATGTAGCTTCAATATGCAAAAAGACAAGCAAGCAGATCGCAGTTATTAGTCGCTTTAGAAAGTTGTTAAGCATCCAAACTAAACTCACGCTATATAAGGCTTATATTTTACCTCATTTCACCTATTGTTCCACAGTGTGGATGCACTGTGGAAAAACGGCATCAGACAAACTTGAAAAACTGAACAAGCGGGCTCTAAGATTAATTTTTAATGACAATGCTAATACTTATGCTACTCTACTGGAAACTGCAAACATGCCTTCTCTGCACGACAGGAGAGTCCAGGACATGTGTATTCTTATCTATAAAGTCATTCATGGAATAACACCTACTCCACTTCGCAATCTGCTGACGCTTAGAAGTAAATCACGTAATTTACGGGGCGAATTGATTCTTGTACAACCCAGAGTTATCACCACCAAGTATGGACTAAACACCTTTAGGTACTACGGACCAAAAATCTGGAACTCTCTAAATGATGAACTAAGAACTTCTCCGACCCTTAAAAAATTTGTAACACGCATCAGAAAGATCACCTTTGACGCATGTAACTGCTCTTTATGTAACTGTAAGACTATCGTTAATATTGTACCTTTTAGAATCATTATCTGTAAACAATATCGTATCATGATTTAAATAGTTTAAATTCAATTCATTTCTTTTTGTTTGTTTTTAACCTCGACTCATTAGCTATTTAAGCTAGGAGCCTAATAAGCTCCAGACCCTCGAGTATAAATAAAGTTTTCAGTTCAGTTCAGTAGGTAATACCTGTCCACGTACTAACGTGGAAATACTGAAATAAAGTTGTTGTTATTGTTGTTGCATGCAAGCAAATAAGCATTAATTTTCTTAATTCTTTATGTGAAGCCATATTTTCCTCTTGGGTAGTCTTCCAAGGCGCCGTCCTCCCGAATTCACTGCGATCTTAACATACGAATTTTGGAGGGAAGCAACGACTGCCTCTGTTCCAGGCTTGCTCTGCCACTCCGGTCGCCGTCGTCCTGAAAACGTCTCTATCTAAAGTTCCCTAATATTAGGGACTTTAAGATTCAACGACGCGACGAAAACGAGAACGTCTAAAAAACAATAGGTTTAGGAAAACAACAACGTTGCATGTGCATCACGCTTTTTTATACATTTCCTTGCCGTTTTTGCTCGACTACGACACGAAAATGCCTAATTTCGTGCTTTATAGAGAACGTAAACAAGCAACGACGAAATTTTATTTCGCTTTCTGAACTTGAATATGGTCCCTTGGAATTCAAATTCAGGAGAGTTCGCGTACATTTGACGAAGTAAGTAAGTAGGAATAATCGCGATAAAGACTGAAAAAACGCAAATTCAATTTAAGCAACGTAATCGTTGCTGTTGCGTCGTTGGATCTTAAAGTCCCTAATTACGATCACAAGCAACGAACCTCGAAACACAAAAACACACAAAACGGATCCAAATCCACCAATCAAAAATCACAAAACATGAACCCGTTAAAGTTAACTACTGGTCATCTTTACACTAGGCCGTTAAGTAAGACTCAAGAGCTGCTAAGTTTTACTTAACCAAAAATGCGTGAGTGAAGGCCTAAGTAAAATCTCAAGTAACTTTACTTTGCATCGCATTAAAGTCGGAACGTTGAAACTATTCAAGAAAGTTTCAAGTGACTTGAAAACCGTCCTCATGACCGACTTAGCTTACTTGCGGTTTCGCCTTTGAGAAAGGCGAAACATGTCAGTCAATCTTACTTATGTTGCGTTGGAAAATAGCCTTAAGTTAACCTGGGGTGCGTTTGATTGGGAAATCTGGATTTAGATTTTAAAATCCGGATTTCGGGGTTTGCAACCGAACGAGAAATCCGAAACGGATTTCAACGCTGAGATATACGTTTTTGGATTTTCCATTTTTATCATTCGATTGGGAAATCCGCAAAAGGATTTGAAAAACTGTCCTAAAGAACAGCCATCGAACAAGCGCACGCATAATTAACAAAAGCAAGACCGCTGTTCACGAGAACAATTTTGCAAAGTAACAAAAATGTTCACTAAAAATAATAAATAAATCATGAACAAAAGTGCGTGTTTAGGTTGAAGTTATCCTTTCCAAACGTTTCGGGCCTGGCCCCGCATCAGTGGAATTACCAGTTCGTTGAAACCGTTGCGAAGTTTATATACGCCATAAATTAGAAATAAAAATTAAAGGCTTTGTAGTGCACGCGTGGCTCTGCGCGCGGCCTAGAGGAAACGGAAGTCGGAGTTTAAACCGCGCGGCTGACTGGTGCCAAGTTGAAATACCAGTCGCAATTCCAGGCGCTTCCGTTGCGCGTTATCTACAGAGAGCATCATTCCTCGAACCAAAGTGTCGTCGATTGAGTGACCAGCCGTGTTAAAATGTTCAGCCACAGGAAACCTCGGCAAGTTCTTTTCAATGCTCCAATAGTGTTCGCCAAAACGTTGTCTTAAAGTGCGTCCTGTTTTCGCCGATATAGAGGGA